TTTATAAGAGCAAAACTATATACCGGATACGCGTAACGTACCTTAATAAATAACTTCTATAGCTTTATTATCGCTATATTCTATCTAAAATACTTCTATTTACTATAATTAAAAATAAGCTCGAGCGTTACCTCTATTAATCTTAAGCTCTTTATATCTATTATAAGTTATTAATCTAGTTAGAAATTATCAGTATCCTAACCCTAAATATTACCTTAGTAAAAAGTACCCTACGCTCCGTAACTAATACGCGTTCCCTCTAATAAATATACGCTTTTAAAAATATTACCGCTTTTAAAAACTTCCTTTAATATCTATCTAATAACTAAAGAAAAAATACGTAAGCCTTCCTTAATAATAGCTTATAAATAAGCTATCTTTTATACCTCTACTTTTTTTATAATAAGCTAAAACAGCTAGAAGCGCTCGATCTCTATATAAAGTATTACGAGTACTCGTAAATTAATAATAAAATAAAATAGCGTAGCTCGGATTACTATAGCTATTATATCTAATCTAGTAAGTTTATTAGAAAGGTTAGTAATAGCTTTAAAATATAAAACTAAAAAGATCTTAGTAATTTATATATTTATATAAGGATTTCTAACGACGCCTTTTTTTATATTAAGCCGTATATTATAAAAGAGCTAAGTATATTTTACCTCGTCTTCTTACTTAGCTTAAAGCGCTTACTAACGATTTTTTTTACTATCTTATTAATATATATTAGCTTTACTAAGCTTACGAGAACGTAATAAAAACCGCGCAAGTCGGTAATTAAATTATTAAGTATAAGCTAAATTTAAAAAAAAACGTAATAGTACGTACTAAATTAGCTTTCCAAAGCTAATAGCGTTATTTTTTAAAAATAATAGCTACCGAAGTAAAAACTACAATAAAATATAAAATAAAAAAAGTAGAACGGCCGTAACGATAATATTTAGTATACTTTATTCTGTTATATAAATATAATTATAAACGTCCGAATTAAAAACTAAATTACCGAACGGCTTACTAAATATAAAATTTAAAATAACGTTAAGCATAAAGTACTACGCTTTTAAACTAAAATTAAATTTTTTATTTTAAAAAATATATATATTAATTATTAATATAAGTTAAAGAATGCTCTTATCGATTTTAGTTTTAAAGTTAACGACTTCTTTACTAAAATACTTTATTACGATCGTTAGTAATCTATATAAATTAACTTATAGTATATAAAAAAGGATTACTTACCCCTCCTACTATTTAAAACCGGAGTTTAGTATATACTATATTATTTTTAATAAATAGTACGTTATTATTTCCTAGATCTAGTTATATTACGTTATACTAATCTAAATATATATACTTAGTACGTACGCTAAGTATATATTTTATAAAATCCGGGTCGCTCGTTATAACGTTATTTAAACCAATATAAATAAGAGATCTTATAAGAGGAGTTAGCAAGCGTTATAAATAACACTAAAAATAGTCGTAAGTACTATATTTAAAGCCGGCCTTATAAAACTTAAGGTATATACTACTACTATATACGGTACGTAAAAGCTACTAAGGGGAGAACTTAATAGAGGGGGGGCCGGGGATATATCGTAGTTATAAATATTAATAAAAAATAAGCGTAGTAGTATATAAAAACGGCCCCTATATAAAAATAGTTATAAGGGTAGTAATACCTATAGTAAAGGCAAGCTAATTACGCTAGCTGCGTAAGCCCTTAGTAAGTAGCTTTAGTTAATAGATAATAAGAGCAAGGATAGTAGGGCCGTGGTTATTCCTCTATTTCTAGTATATACTAAGAAGTTTACGGATAGGGCGGTCTAGGGAGGAGACCTTAAATAATTCTTAAAAAAGGCTATATACTATATAGTATACTTTATAGGGCCCATACTACGCTTTATAGAATAGATATAGGTTATAGTGTCGTAGTAGATGCGATTACGGGTAGTTCTAGGTATCTTTACCTAAATCGACCCCTCTATAATATAACTAGTACGGGTTTAGCGAAGCAAAATATAGCACTATAAAATATAACTCTTTATGCTATGGGGATAGTTTATATTCTTTTAACCCTATATATAGCGTAAATATCGAGTAGTAAAATTAACGGCTTAAAAAGCTAAATTAGGTAGCTATATACTAGACCTATATTACTGCTTCTAAATCTTGCGCAAAGTAGTATAAGTATAAAAAAACATTGTATTAATACCTATCTACTATTAGACCGACGTACGAACTCTCGTATTCGTCTTACTATAATAATAAGCTATAATTTATTAAAACCTCTTAATAGCTTATAAATAAACGTAAACTAAAACCTATCTACGCACTTTCCGCTTACTATAACTCGTCTACCTAAATACTTATATAATAAGTATAACGAAGCGTATTACCTTTTATAGCCTTAGGCTATACGAGGTATAAAGTCCCGCAACTTTATATTCGTTATTCATATTATTAATAATAGTTTACTAAATAGGTCGTAAGTACTTACTTAGATTAAGCTACTAAGCTACTTATAATAGCTCGTATATATTTATAAGCTTTAGGTTTTAGTTAAGTACTTAGACTACTTATTTAATACTAATAATAACCTATCCGCGGTAGATAAGAAACGACTTTATTAGGGCATACTAGTAGCGCGATTTAAAATAAAAATAATCTATTTATAGGATAATAAACCGCTACTAGCTAATTCTCTAAGCCCTAAAAAAACTATAATTACTAAGTATCGCATTAGTACTGTTATTAACTACGTTTAATATAGTTAGGATATAAGTAACGTAGATATTAAATACTAAGTAGAACTAGAGATCGTTATTGCCCTCTCTCGTTTTACTAAGAGCTAGAGCTTAGATAATTTTATAAATGCGCATAAAAAGATTATAAGCGAGCTGCTAATATTATATATAGCTAGTATTTTAAAGCTCTAGGCTTAGTTTATATTATAAGCCTAAGTTACCTGTGCGAGCTTAATAAGTAATAACGGAGTAACGCTAACCGTTTTTATTAGCTTTTTATTAAACGACGTCCTTAACGTAACGCTTATTAATATTAAAAAGTAGTAAAAAATATTATTCGTTTTATTAGTAAAACGCGTTAAAAAGTTAGAAAAGTCCTTATATTAAGATTTTTATATAATATAACTAATCTTTCTTAGGTTTATATATAGTAATAGTAAATAGTAATAAAAAGAACTAAACGAGCTAGGGTAGGCTGGTATAAATATTATTAATTATTTATACTTAGACGCGGGCTAAGTATTATTACGGGGCCCGGGCCCGCTCCTTAGTTAGAAATTATTACTAAGCCCTATAAGTCCTGTCGCTAACTAAGCGAAGGTAAAATAAGAATCGGAAATAGGTCTATATAATACGGGAGGTTCTTAAGCGATATACGAGGATATAAATACGTATATTTACTAAACGTAGGGCATAGCTCTAGGAGTTAAGTACGTATAACTAAGTTAAAATGCGTAATAAAAAGTAATTTTCGGCGCTTATTAATATTATATAGTATCCGTAAGTTTAGTTAATAAATACTTTTTTAGATAGAAGTAGTACTACGATATGCGCCGTATTTAAATAATAAGGTTTAATAAAAAGCGGGGCACGCTTAGTTTAGAGAGCTAAAAGCTAAGGTAAAGTTTTTTCTTAGCGGCCTCTTTAAAGAACCTATATTATGGCTACCTTTATACCTAACTATCCCTTTAACTACTATAAAATAGTAAATTTAGCTTATATTAGGCTAGCTAACGCTTTATAGCGCTAGTTTATAACTTTAAGCCCTATTAAAAACGGCGAAAAGCTACTCCGATATTCCTACGGTTATTACTTTTATAAATATAAATATATACCGAAGCTCTAGGTATAGGTCGTTATTATCCTTAGTAGTACTATATAGGGGCCGTGCCGTCTTTTATTACTGATTAAGGCTAGAAAGGGCTCTGGGCTAGTTTATTTTTTACCCCCATCTTAATAGAGTAGAGATAATTGCTTTTGAGCGTTATATTTAGGATACTAATATATATATTAGAATACGGTAGCCGTAGCTCTATAATTAAGAATAGTCGTATTAGCTAGAGCGTTTATTTTGACGTATACGAGGCATATTATATACCCTATTACTTCTTTAATAATTATTACTTAAGCTACTTATTATACTAACTAGCTAGGCTACGAGTGCTTTAATAATATATACTAACGTTATTAATTAATTATATTAGTAAAGGAAAGCTTATATCGTTTAGTAATATATACGTATATAACTATAGCTCTCGCTACGTCTTAAAGTCTTAAACTTCTTATAAATAAGGACTAAGAATCGTATTAGACCGTTATTATATATACTATAAAATCGTATTATCGCCTTATATATATAACTATTTCGAGTATTAACGCTCTTTAATACCTAGAAATATTACTTAATCTTTTCTAACTAGCCGCGACTATGCGCATAGTTATTTACTATAATACGCTTTTTAAAATAATAGTTTAAAATATTACTAAGCTAGTTATCCTAAAAAAGATAAATATCGTTATACGGGTAACTACGGCAGCCGTATACAGATCCGACTTATATATTTACTACGGTTATATAAATAGTACAGTACTATAAATAATAAGCCACGAGGCCGTTAGCTATATTTCGGAAATTAGTAATGCCGTATCCTCCTTTACCATTAGGGACTATATTATTATCCCCAACACCGTATTTAAAAATTATCTAAAAATAAATCCAAGGTTAAAAGAATACTTCGGCTTTAAAAATAATAAAATAGGTCTAGGTAGTTTATAAAGTACGAATAAGCCTATACTATATACATCCTAAGTATACTAAAAAGAGGTTTACTAATAAGAGGCTACGTAGCTAAATACGCAAAGGTCCCCTTTACTAAAACTAACCTAATCCCCATCCCATTAACTTATAATACTACTAACTTAACAATCGAGCACAACTACTTAACCGTTTTAAATATTTTCGCTACGGGATAGGCTAATATCAACTATACCAAATTCGAACCTAGCGATTCTATTACCGTTTTCGGGGCAGGTCCCGTTAAGCTACTATTTACTTACTTAGCTATTCTATATAGAGCGTTTAAAATCTACGTTATTAACTATATAAAAAAACGCCTTATTCTTACCGCTTTTATTAGCGCTATCCCGATTAACTTTACTAACAAAAACCCTATTACTTAGATTTTAGCTTACGAACTAGATAGGGTTATGCGTACTATAAACTATATTAATATAGAAGCGTTAAACTTAAATCTTAAAATAAACGAGAGTACTATTATATAATAAATAATTAATATAGCGTATTTTAAAAGAGGTATAGGCTAATTAGGTATATATAGTTTATAAATTAATTTACTTAGCGTACTATATAGTAACAATATCTCGCTTATAATTCCCTTCCCTATCTCGTCCTTTTTTATTAAAAGCTTAAGTTTTTAAATAGGAGCTATTAATCTAAAGTAGTACGCTCCCTAGCTAATTAACCTTATTAATAGCAGCAAAGCCTACCTAAGCTTTATTATTAGCACAGTTATTAATATCGAGGATATACTAAAGTATTATAAACGCTTTAATAAAAAAAAGGAAACTAAGGTAGCTATTTACTTCCCAGAGTAGGACAGCTTAATTATATAAAGGCTTTTAGTCTATATATAAAAAAAACTACAGTAATCTAAGTAATATATACAAATTCCTCCCTATATCCCGGCCCGGAGTTTTAAATTTATATCTTAATATAATAAAAGCATATATATTATAACGATCTATAGGGTATTCTCCTAGCAATCCGGAGGTTCGCTCAAAACCTACTTAGATATTTATATGTATATTTTTAAGCCTTTTTATTTAAGCTAAGTAAACTTTATAAACTAAAAAGTAAGCTCGGCAGTATTATATTAAGGTACTTTACACCTAACCTAGCTAACGAGATAGTATAATAAACAAGCGCCTTTAGCATTTATATAAATATATCCAAAAATTAAATTAGGTAATTACGATATTATACATAAAATATATTAAGACCTTTTACTAAAGCTAAAGAGTAAGTAAATATAATTTACTTAATAGGGGAAGAAGTAGAGAATAAATATTATAAGATAAAATTGCGTAATAAAATAAAAGAGTAATAGCGAATATTTTAATAATAAACTTACTTACTAAGCCTAATACTAATAATCTACTTTATAACTTAACTAGCCGAATGCGCCTTAGGGGCTATAAGAGTTAGCTAACAAGTTTACTTCTATAAACTTATAAAATAAAATAACTAAGTTTAAGTATTATAAGCCGCTAAATAATAAGGCGCTATATACTAGCGTTTATAAGGGCGTATAGGGTCTTTATACTAAACTTACTCTACCTTAACTAGGGGACTAAATTTATTACTAAATAGACTAGGGTCCTAGTTTATATTACTTAAGTTCAGAGAGTGCTTTGCAAGCTAGGCTTCGTAATAGCCGTATATATAAGCTATATTTAAAAACTATATATATAAGTATCAGTAGCCTATAGTCTTTTATATACTTTTATTTATATTATCTATTACTAAGTTCTTATTTAATTTAAGTACTTTTTACTTATAAGATTAAAGTATATATATAATATCTTATCTTCTACTTTTTTTCTCTAACAATAGTAAAATATCTAATTAGGGTAGTAGGGCTAGGACCGCCTTAACAGCTATGCTTATAAACAGTACTAATATCTATAGGATTTATACCCCCAGCCTTACCCACAATAGTATATTATCTAAGCTTATTATAATACTATTAGTACCGGAGCTTACGGTCTTATTTTATAAAATTTAATAAGCTACCGATAATATATTATAGCTCGTAGGGCAATTTAGATTTAAAATAATAAAAATACTAACGACTCTTTATATTAAAAAGGCGTTTTTTATAAATAAGAAATTACTTTAACTACTATACTTAATATACGTAAACGAATTTTTTTACATAATTATAAAGTTCTATTCTAAACTAATTTATAACTTAACTTCAGTACTATTATTATAATAGCTCTATAACGAGCTACTCAACGTTTTATTACTAATAAGCGAGACGCAGAACTATAAACTCGACTTTAAACCCGCCTTAAGGACTAATATAGCCCTACCCTATATAATTACTATTAATATTTTAAACAAAAATAATAAAAATAATATCGAACTTATTACGTCATATAGCGAGCTATTTAATAAGCAGCGCATTTTTAATATACCTTTTACGTAATTTAGTTTTCTTAAATTAAAAAAGTACGGCAAGCTAACTAAAGCTATTCTAAATATTAACTAAAACCCGTACAAAAAAAACGGCTACGTTACTAATATTTTTAAATATCTCGTACTTTATATAAAAAGTAAATAACGGCGCAATATAAAGGCCGTCTTTATAAAAAAAGAGGAGGACCTAGTTATCGCTCTAATTAAAATTAGTAAAGCAGAAAATAACCGCTTCTCTATATTAAAAAACTAATAATAATAATTCCGGAACTTATTATAGCGCTTTCTAATTAATACTAAGGGATACGTAGCTAAGAGTAGACTTATAAAAATAAAAAAGGGACCGTATAGCGAGTTTATATTCTAAGCCCGAGGTTTAAAGGACTAGGATATGAGCAAGTATTTATTTACTAATATTTAATTATATTATAGCCCCGTAAGTAAAAAAGACGCTAGACTTATACTATTAAAACTAATTATATAAACCGTTTTGCCCTCGCGCTTATTTCCATAATAATATATAACTTTAGGACATAGCAAGAAGATAGATATAAGTAATAAAACTAAAGTATTTAGATTATTTTTATATTAAAGTCTAGACTTTGGGGCCCGCTTTACTACTACGTTATCCGTACGAGCCCTAAAAGCCAGTAGGATTTTAATAAAGTCCTCTATATCTCTCTCTTTAACTAACGGCGCCGTAATATAGTTTTTAATATTAGTCCTTTCTATTAGCGTAGGTAAGAGGGGTAATAAATTAAAGTATACCCTATTCTCGTCGTCCCGTAATATAGATCAAATACCATAACTATATTTAATAAACTAAGATAGATCCTTCTAAATATAAAACTTTTTAAACACGTTAAGTACCTCGGGCGCAATATTACCTTACGCCCGGGCTACTTCATAAGCTATATACTATCTAATAGCCTCTACTATCGCTCTATATCAAAAGAAAATACTATTATTATAAGCCGTACCCCTTAAGTTACTAAATACACTAAGTACAAAGTTTTTATTTCTCATAACCTCTTTAAGCATCCTAGCTTTATATATAATAAGAGATCTTATTAAATTAGTCAGTTTTAAAAAACTATATTTATTTATAAAGAGTTTAGAAGCGAGACCTAGGACGTATTAGTACCCATATTTAAGCTCGTATATAAAAAAGATTTACAAATACTTATAACGAGAGTATTACCCTCAGCCACGGAGTTACTTTAAAAAGTTAATACTAGTTCGGTTATTTAATTATACGCATATAGGCCCTACTAGCTATATTACTCCGCTAGCTTATAAAATAAACGAGACAATTACATAACTAAGACTTTAAAAACGGTAGCAATCCTTTAATAAACGTCTATATTATAATTATAATTAATAAACTCGCTAACGCTCTACTTAGTATATATATATAAAACTTCCTCGTACGCTAATACTTCTAAAATTAGCCTTTATTATATACTAAACTATATAATTAGTAATTTATTCCTATTTCTAACTAAATAACGCTAGCTATATAGGGCAGCAATATAGCTCGTAACTCGAATAGTAAATACCCCTATAATTAAGAATAAGAGCGTACTAACGAATACCCTCTAGATATAAGTAAAAAACTCCTCTCACTCGTTATTATTTCGCAATACCGATCTTAAAAGCGCTTCGGGCTAAAGCTTTATATTATAAAACATTATAATAAAATAATCTAGCAGCTTAGTCCTAGCCCGCATAGGGAGCATACGTAACATAACGCTATTATACATACCTCTTATATCATTAATTCGTATAATAAAAAGCTTTACCCCTTAGTTATTACTACTTATAATAAACTAGGTAAAAATAATAATAACGCGGGCTATACTAATTAGTAACGAGGATAGCAGTATAGCTTTAGCTATACTTATATTTAGCATATTTAGGGTAAAAAACCCGTTAACCTTTATCGTTATAGTCATCTCTAAATTACGGGCGTCGAGGCTATAACCAACCTTTATTAATATAAATTCTCTATAAGCTTTAAAAACGAGAAGTTCTTTAAAAGTAGCTATAAAGTTAGGTCGCTTACGAAAGAACTTCGTAATCGTTCTAATATATAAATTAAAATAAATCGTTACAATAACAAAAGCTATTATATCCTAAAAAGAAATAGCTAGTAAGTAGTAGTTAAGTATAATTAATATATAATAAATATAAAAGAGAACGTACGATCGAAATAGAAGTCTTAAAATCTTAAGGTTAGCTTAGTAATATTATTAATTATAAGGCCTAGGTAATATTAGTATAACGGAGTTTAGTTAAATAATATACGTATTAGCAACGCGCACCTCAGCTTAAGTAAAGAGCCTTAGCTCGTTTATAATATAGCGGGATATTTATAATCAATAGCTCGTAACAGCTATCCCTTTTCATATCTTAAACTTTATTAACTAAAAGCGACGTATTAAAGTTTATAATAAAGGAGCTAATATCCGAAATAGCGTTAAAAAAAAAGGCGTAACGTAAATAGGGACTAGCTTAATAATAAGAATACGTATAAAAGGAAACTTAGAAAGATAACTTAATTTTAAGTCTAATAGCAGTTATTTTAAGTATTTTTATATCTCGAGAAATAAATCCGGCCTTTATATTAGTTACTCACTATTTAGCCCTTATTAATTATTATAGTCTTATTATTTAAGCGAGGAGGGTATAGTATATATTATAAAACGGTCCTTATTACGTTAATTTATAAAGTTAACTTTAGCTTACTAAATTATATACCTCCCCGTACCCAAATCGAAGTAGTAGCTATATTAGGCATAGAGTAATTATTAACTCTATTTCTAAGCACAGCTAAAAAGTAACCGTAAGATCCTATTTCTATTTTATCTTAATTTACTTATAGTTATAGCTCGCCTTCGCCGTACGATATATATTATATATATATTCTAAAACTAGTTTAAAAACTATAAGAAATAGTATAGGCCGTAGTGCACATATTATTTCTATTCTTCTCCTATTTCTTTATTACAACTAGTATTTATCCTAGCACTCTAGCCCATAACGCTAATTATAAGTATTACGAGATCCGTTAAATACTATTATAAACTTCAATAACTAGCTACGGATTAGCTACGAGCCGTTATAAAGTATACTATTCGAGGTTATATAGGCCCCGAATAAGAACTCACCTTATAATTAAAAATCCTTAAAATAGCCGCGAACATATAGCAAATAATATTACTATTAGTTAATTAGGAGGGAGAGGGCCGTATTATTACTAATTAAGCTATATCTTCCCTATTATAGGCGTTTAATAATATAGCCTTAATACGCAGTAGTTATAAGGAGAGAGTATAGTAGCAATAAGCTCTACGTACTTAGCTATTAAGTAAAAATAATCCGCTATATAAGAATACAACCATTTACTTATAATAATAATAGCCGACGTACTTTTTATAATAGATTTATAAAAATAGAACGCATAACGCTATTATTAGGAGTTAGTAGAACTAAGAATAGGTTTTCTGTTATCGTTTATATAGCATATCCCATATTATAAGCTTCCTTAATCAATTAAAACTAAAAAACCTAAGACCTAAATAAGAATACGATATCTCTTATATTATATAATTAAACGTAATTTAGTATTAAATAGTACTATATATCATATTACGTTCTAGGGCCCCTCCTATTATAAGGTCTTCAGATAGACGTATTTTAACTATTTCTTATAATATATAATATAGAATTTAATACTTATTTATACTACGCTAAGCTAGGATACTAGCTTACCTAGTTTTATAACTACTCTTATAATACTATTTGAGCTAATACTATTATAGCTAATACCGTTTCTATAGTTACGTATTAAAAGTTAGTTAATAAGTTACTAGTTAAGACTATATATATAGACCTAAAGCACGCAGTAGGTTAGAAATATGCCCGCTGCTATACTAAATTTACTTTTTTAAATACTATTGCGAGGCCCCTTTTTATTCCTAAATATACTCTTTTTAGCTTTAAAATAAGAAGTCTATAAGCTAATTAGTTTATAAATAGTAAATCTAAAATAAGGACGGCGACTTAATATAACGGTAGTTAAGGTAAAGCGCTATAAGTAACCTTAGCTAATGCCTAAAAAATAAAATAAAAGTTATTAGTTTTATTAATATAGTCGTTTTAAATATTAAAAATTAGGGTAGCTAGTTAAAAAGGTAGGGTAGATAGTTATATTTAAAAAATACTTTACTAAATAGTCCTGCTAAATATAAGTACTAAATCGGGCCCTACTTAAGAAAAGTATAGATCCCTAGTATATACCCTACCCCGGGCCGGAAGTTATTTACTAAGCCTCTTCTATTTCCTATATTCTTTATTAACTTCTAGCCTTCGGCCTCTATTTACTAATCTAGATCCGGTACCCTAGTTACTCTATATTTTCATTACTTAGTCTAAACCTAGTCTAAACCCCGGCTACTAAAAAATAACCGCTAGCCGTTTACTTATTTAAAAACTATAAATATAATATTTTTTATTAACCCCTACTATAACGCTTACTAAGTAATTATTTAAAAAGCAAAAATATTTATTTTCCTAAAAGTAAATAGTAGAGCCTTAATACTATTATATAATAAATAAACCTCCCTCTTTTTAAGTTATAAACTTATAATAAATAAGACGAGGTCAATACAAATATAAGTAGGGAGTTCTTTTCCTAATTAGATTTAAGAGTTTTCTTAGTAAGTTAGGTTTCTAGCCCCACCCTACTGCTAAAATACCATTAACTATATATTAACGTTACTATATAGTAATACTATTAATAAACTTCTAACGATACTAAGCAACGGTTTCTTTATATTTCCTTTATATCCCGTTAATAATTATTTTAACGTTACTAAGTAGCGGTTCTATATTTTATATCTCCTTTATATCCCGTTAATAATCGTTCTTAACGTTATTAAGTATCGGTTCTATATTTCTTTTATATCCTATTAAATAAATATTCTCAACGTTACCGGGCATCGGTTCTACGTTTTTTTTATATCTTATTAATAATTATTCTAACGTTACTAAGTAGCGGTTCTATACCTATTTCCTTTATATCCCGTTAAATAAATATTCTTAATATTACTAAGTAGCGGTTCTATATCTCCTTTATATCCTATTAAATAGACATTCTTAACGTTACCGGGTATTAGTTTTATATTTTCTCTATATCCTATTAAATAGATATTCTTAACGTTACTAAGTAGCGGTTCTATATTCTATATCTCTTTTATATTCCGTTAATAATCGTTCTTAATATTACTAGGCATCGGTTTTATATCTCCTTTATATCCTATTAAATAAATATTCTTAACGTTACTAAGCATCGGTTCTACATTTCCTTTATTTTCCGTTAATAACTAATTTAATAATACTACCGAGATACTTTTCTTTAAGTAATATAGGTAGCGAAATTCGGACTCTATAACCTCCTCGTAATACTACTTAGAAACCTATCCTTATTAGTAATAGAGCTAATATAAAAACGTAACTACGTATAATAGAGTATAATAGCGCGCGAGTACTTAGGACGGTAGATATTACCCACTAAATATTAAGTAGTTAGTTAGTCAGGCTCTAGCAGCTTATAGATTTCTCTTATAGTTAGAAATAGGACAATACTCGCTATCTTTAATATACGATTATACTTTCAAAGCTCCTATATTTAGTTCCTATCCATAACAATACTATCTTATTATAATAGCTATTACTATAAGTTTTTATATAATAAGTAAAACCCCCCTTCGAGGCTACTCTTACATATATACAGCCCTATAATACTATTAATAATAAGGAATTTTGGTTATAAACAACTAAAAGTGCGTATCGTTAGTTAAGTAGTAGCTTATAAGTATTACATTAAGCATATATCGAGACACTAGCATATTTATAATAAAATTTAAATTTACTATATATTAAACACTAGCTAAATTAGCATAGCTAGTTACTAGGGCGTTAAAAGGAGCTAAGGGTAATATAATAAAAGTTATATAGTATAGCTCGCTAGTTTATCCTTTTTATCCTCGTAGTACTAATAAGAACTAGCTATTTATACTACGCTTTATAGTTTAACGGATATTAATAAATTTAAAAAGCTTTTAGAAATATTTTAAACAGTAGAAATAGTATAAGTAAAGATTATAAACGTAGCGGTCGGTATAAGCTCGCTTCGGTAAGTAAGTAGATCTAAAAAAGTTACAAAATAAATTTAATATTAAAATCTAAATACAGTTATAACTATATTATACTCGCATTATACAGTTCTATAATATACCTAAAAATCCATAACTAAATCTAAAGGACTAACGCGGACCTAAGAGCTTAGGATAATTAATTATAACCATTAAGCCAGTTTCTTACTAACGGACTATTAAATAAAATACCGTAGTTTATCTAACGGGCATACCTACCCGCTTTACTAACTTCGATTCCCAACTACTTTTAAATAATAAACGGCTATACTCTAAGCCCGATTTTAGCTCGTAGTAGGGCTATACCCAACCCTATTAGGGGCGTTTATAAACTATCCGGGTACATCCCCTACGTTAAAAACACCCCAAGAGCTTCTTAAAATACTCCCTATACACACTACTATATTTAATAATAATAATTATATATATATGTGGTGGTTTTTTTTTTCCGGCTTTACAGGCACAAAAGATCGACCTTAACGGGATCACGCTTTCAAGGGAAATCACACGATACAGTACACTTTTTAACTACACAATACGCGCAATGTATCCCAAGCACGCGCTCAACGCAATATAGTGAT